TGACGAAATAGCACTTCCCAGATCGCTGGACACCAACGACTTAAATCATTTTGTTCGTGTCATCGATGAAAACCAAAAGAAATCAATAAAGCCCCGCACGTGGAGCTAAATTCTGTTCATCTCTCTGACCCTAGTTCGAAACAGGGAATCTTCTAGGGGATTTTCACTGCATATTGTGGACGGAACGCGATATCATACCCATAAGAGTATATATATATATATATACTGATGTAGTGTCTATAGTGGTATCGCTGTTTAAATTCGGGTACACCGAGGTCGATTAGTGACGTCAGGTGCCTAGATTGATATTGCTCATTGATTGGAATTGGTGAATAAGAGTACCTGTCAAGAATACAGTACATGGTTGGTGATAACGAGCTAACTGTATACATGTAATCAGGCTGTCAACACAACAATTCAGGTATGTATAGAATAAACGCTATTTACGAAGCAGATAGATTTGTTCTATTTCTGACATGTCGATTTTACGGTCAAAAACTACCTCTCAGAAATACAGAGGCAAGATCATATAACAAGGGTTTCCAGTCGTTTCACACGAGTGATTGTCACAATTTGTGCAAATAGCCGCTATTCACAAGTTCAGAGTCCCTCGCCAATTTTAATTCTACCGTTTCAATCATCAATCATGGTCGCTCGAAATACGTCTCGGACAATTATATTACATGATCTGCAAAAAGGAAAAGGATGAGCGTCTGCAAATGTTCTAGAGGAGCTCTCATTGATTCGGAATATATTTGTATATTTGTCTATGCGCATTTATGACGCGTACAATATATTTCACTCACTTTATACTATACATAGCAACGGTCTTAGAGTTTATTATCTTTGGGTGACCGTTGAAAATTTGTGCTGAGAACCGCGTACCTGTATTATTTTATGTACCGTCGCAAACATATTACCCTGTACGAGGACTTTGAATTTTGATACCTGACCCAACTGAGGATAGATTGATTTGAACTGTGTGCTTTCCGGAGCCAGTATGATGTCCCACTCATATTGCGTAGCTGTTATAATCTGGTATAACGACCTATGTCTGGGGTGAAGTTGATTTTAGTATGCCGGCACCTCCGGAAGCCGTTGCTGGTGAGAAAAATGGATTTTCCAAAGATATTCTTACAGCGACATTTTCCAAAAGAGGGTAATAATACATTCAACAAGTTAATAGGCGTGTGTTTATGTATATGACTATATCGTTCCTGGTCTTTTTTATAAAGCTGCTACGACATATTAAAAAAAATACTAAATACACATATTTCATTTTCTATTCAACAAACCATAGCCATTTGGTATATTTGAGGAGGCTATAAAATATGAACAAACACAGAGGCGATACATTTTGTATGTTTCCATGACAATCTACGGCATTCTCAGAATTTCTTTGAACGGAGTTTCGTTTGACGTTTTGACATTCCATAAATAGTTATATGTCAATACATATCATAACACCACATACGAGTGACATTGCTCTCTAATATTGCAAATGTGCATTGCATGACAAATACAATATTTGTTAGACAACTTAAGACTATGCTCACCTGGCTTGGGATCCGCAACTTCACTATCGGTATGCTTAGCGGCACAGAGAAACTTTTGAGTGCTTATAATGTGTGTTGAATGTGCTAGTAGCTTTTCTACATGGCGTTAGTGGTAGAGACTGAAGTGAAGCGTCCGAATGTGCGGCTGTTGATCTTGTTTCTGTTTCATTGTTTGGCAGTGTGAACGAGTAAGTGCATGAGAATTGGACTAAAATTTGAACTGTATTTTATTTATTTATTTGTACAAACGTTGAATTTGAACAGCATCTTAAAAGTGTAGATGAAAGCTAATGAGCAAGCAGGCATAGTCTTTATGACTTGGTATATATAGTGCTATGACTAAACCAGTACCTTTCTTATCAGTAGTTGCAACATGCACAGTCCCAGTATGTCGCTTGTGTACAGGTGTGTGCGCTCTTTACTTATGTGTTTGAATTTGCATGTGTCAACCGCTCGGTTGCGAAGTACTGGTGGTGGACAGAACTCTGCATATGCCCTTAGGGTACAGAAACTGAGTGTGTGAACTGTGTATATATCCAAGTTTGCTATCGGACGAAGCCGTTATGGGGTGCAACCGTAACACTGCATCGAATATTCACTGTGTGTTTTATACACGGGCTGCAAGGGTTAGCTACGTGTTCGGTACATACATACATAGGTTGCCTGCGTGTTACGAGTGTGTGATGGATTTCATTAATTTTTTTATTGGAAGGGTATGACTCTCACATATCACATGCGCCATACGCGTGCAGCCAAATTCGTGGTCTATATTAAGTTTGAAGATGTGCAACTTCATTTCATCGCACGCTATTCCAAATCTTAAAAGTTGTGTCTATGGAAGTTATTTCTAGTCTCTGTATAATGTGATGGCGACCAGGTCATTTTATATCATTCACACTGTAGACTTCAAAGCAAAAGCCTGCGCGCGTTCCAATGAGTACAGCTACAGCTAATGATTGCTCAATAGCGAGGCCGGCATATACACCACTACACGCGATATATGGTGTCTTGGCTTTATATGTTCTCGCCTCGGCTGTATGTTAGGCAGTTCTGGTCGTGCCAGTTTTCTCGGTCAGACTGGCTTTATTGTGTGTTTTATTGTGGCATGTATAGGCGTATGTGCTACGAGATAGTCGATTGGGTTACGAGCGGTATCGCATATCTTTGGAATGGTATACCATTGGTCCAAACACAGCTGGGCATATATCCTGGTGCTAGTTACTAACACAGACGACTTTTGGTACTTCTGATGTACACGCTGGCTCCTATGTATCACTAGATTGTTCATATCTCAACCGCATTCGTATCTAGCAATAATTAGTACACACTTGAACCCAACGCGTCTCCTCACACACTACACCGGCATTACACGCACTCGTTTATACGGCAGGTAAAAGACAAATTTTTCAGATTCTTCTTTCTCTGGTCGTGATCATGACTGTCAATGCCTCGCGCTGTGATGCAGATGATGAGTCCTGTGTACAGGAGATCACCGACAGACCGGTACCTTATATACCCACACACACATATATATATATATGTATATGTATATGTATATGTATGTATATATATA